TCCATGATTTCTCTTACTGGATCATTCCACTGAACGTTATGATATAGCAGTATAAGCAGAACACAAAGACCTGTCTTCGCTCTTCGGTCTTATATTCTTCCGTATAAAAATTCTTTTCATAAGGTCAGTCACACTATTTTGTTTCAAAATAGTAGGAAGATAGGTAGAAGAGAAAAAAAATCTGAGTCTCTTTTCTTCATTCTCTCCTTGATGAAATATTTGAGACCAAGTTAGTAAAAGAGGAAATGTAGTGAAGAAAGAGAAATAAGCTCTCTTTACTTTTTCAGTGTGAATGAATTGCAAAAATATAATACCCTCTTCCACAGAGTAAAAAAGGAAAGGATTAAAAACTGAAAGGGAAAAGAAAATGCTCATAGGGCTTAATTAAAAAAATCTTACCTTCCAGGTAATTACTCCTTAGCTGGGGCAGGTAAATTACCAGTATCATCCTAGGAGTATTAATCTTGGTTAAAAAGAAGAGAAAAAAAAAACCCTAAACGCTGAAAATTTAGTATATATGCCATGTAGACTAAGAATACTTACTATTATTAAGATTACTTGTCACTTCTCAGTACAGAATCATGCATTCAGGTAGATAAGCTATGTATAACTTTGCTGAATTTGGAATGTTTCGACTGATATTTACCGTAGTAACCTTCTGCAAAAGATTACTTTTGCAAATAAAGTTTCATCCAAAACAGTTTAATCATTCCTGACATGATGTAAGGTGAAAATCTATTATTTTGCCTACATTGAAAACCTCTCATGACATTTGTTTTGAGAAACACTAGCATCCTCAGGTGTCTCAGGGAGACTCTGAAATTTGGCAGGGGTACGAGATTCACATTCAGCAGGTTGTTTTTTTACTATTCCTGTGAAATCTATCTGCATTATTAATTGGGAAATATAGTTACCTAAGATATAATTTTCACTGAGTATGCTCCAGCTTCAGACTTCAACTACGTAGAAATTAAAGGTGTATGAACGTGGAGCAGGGAAATGCTATACCCTTCCATTTTGCAAGCAAATAATTGAATTTCTTTTTCAGTCACTGTTTGTGTACCTAACACTAACTTAATTTAGGCAGTATTCACCAGCACTGCTTATGAGAACTTTATGTGGGACTATGCCAAAGCCAAGATAGGTCATAACTATTGTTTCTCTCCAGCACATTTATCCTGTCAAAAAATGGAAAGGGGGGCAATTTTGATATATCTCTTCCCAACAATCTCTCCTGTTCTCTTGAATATTACCCATCAACTTGGACTTCTCAATGACTTCTACCAGCTTCTACATACTGCCAAAATGAACATTAAAAATATTTTAACCACCTATCTTCCATATTCTGGCTTGTGTGTATAACCCCATCAAAAAAATGTGAATAGGCAGCTCTAGCTCAAAGAATTCAATCTCTTTATTCAAGGAAAACAGTCTTCCATAATCCTTATAAACTCCATGCTAATGTCATGGGCCAAAAATCCTTCATAACTAAGCACGATCTCCCTCCTTTCAAAACAACCACAGAAGTACTATTTCATAAAGATCAATTTATACACTAAGTTGCAAACATAAAGGTTTTTCAGTATTTTTTTAAAAAGGGTTTGATTTCCTACAGAAATGATGAAATCACATATGTGTGCATGTGTGCAATTTTTACTTCATGTGTCAAAGGGGCGGATACCTCGAAGAAACTGAACTTGCGGAGCACGCACAAGTTGCTGGCTAGCGTTGCCAGGTCCTGTTACCACCGCACACTGAGGCAAAGGCAAGGGAGAGCATCGTCCTTTCCCGTCCTGACCAGCAGGTGGGGGCAGCTGTCCCCGGCCACCCATCAAACGAGGATCATCTAACCAGTTAATACACGTATATCTCCAAACCAGCTGAAAAAAACTGCTTTCTATTTTCCCATTGTCAGGCTGGATAAAAATGTGGTGTGATCTGGGAGTAGGATAGATGCATTGCATTAACTTTCGGGGGATTTCGAGGATTTAGGGTGGAGGCATTACTGGAAGTATTACAGGTACAGTAAATTTGGGGAAGTACTGAAGTGGGAAACTATGAGGGGAAGTTATAGGGAATATGATGCACCTGAAGGAGACACAAATGTTAGGAATCTTGGCCTTATTAGTTCCTTTGAGCAGAAAATCATTTATTTTAAAAGGAAAAATGTTTTTTCTTCATCTAAACAGAAGTGTACAGTAAGAAGCACTTTGCGTAAAATTTACAGAAGAAGAAAAATAACCTCTATAGCTAGTCATCAAGATGCATCAAATGTGATTCCCCCCACCCAAGAATTTATAAGCATATAAAATTAGACTTAATCAGGTAAATTCTTTTGCAGATTAACTCTCCTATTTACTGTCAAGTGAACAGGCTAAGTTATCTATATCAAGCTTTATTTCACATGCAGTGGCTCATTTACTCAGGAGAAACAAAACTTCTGCTATTTGACGGCATCTCCTGTTTCTCATTATTGGCTGCACTTCACCCTATAGCACCACTTGCCTCTATGAAATCTTTCTTTCAGTACCATAAGCTGAGGTAGATATTGTACAACACTGTGGGTATAGTTGCTGTTTATTTCCTGACTACTCTAATTCTGAAGTCTAAGAAATAGTATCGTTTACAGCTATGGTAGGCATACGCCAAATCCGGAGTGGGGAGGCTACACAGCTTTATCCCCAGTCCCATTTAATGCAATATCCTTATGGGTACACTGCACTGTGCAGAGCCAGTGGTGAAAGGTACAGTTACCGAAATCTTGATAAATACTCATCTACATAGCATCCCTCTGCCATTTAATGAGCTTTCCTTGGGTTGTTTGAACATTTACAATGACATGAACATTTAGGTATAAATCTAGTTATCAGTTTGTATGAGCCAACATACCTCATAACCATATATCACCTCCCATCTGATAATTTCAAGGTACCATACAAACATTCAGAAAAATTTTGCCAATTACAGATGTATTTTCTTTAGAGTTATGCAAAGGAATCCTATTGAATGTTTTAATAAATCTGTACTCCTGGACCAAAATTGCTGAAAAATTATTATTAGAGTTCATTTTAATCTTTATTTTACAAATAATAAGATAATCAAATTTTCATAAAAATAAAATTTATAACTTTTCTAACTAGAAAGTAAAACTTAAGTTAAAACAATTAAAAACATAACTATAATGAATGGAAAATATAAGGTTTTTAAAAACAATCTTATTATCACAAGAGTAAAAGGAATGATTCAATATTAAAGCAATAGAAGGGAGTCTTAGCCAATTGTCACACACGGGTTATCTAACCATTCAGTACATGGACTGAAGGACTGATATTCAGGTTTGTGCACTACTAGTACAATCTTCCTATCTGACCTTGAACAAGTTACTGGAACTCTGTGCAATAAGTGATCAAGTATAGCACAATGATAGTAGTCCTTTTCTCTTTCCGAGGAGTACTATGAGGATGACTTGGAAATGATCTTCTCCTACGGTCAAGTTACTATGGTACTCTTTTACCGTAGATTTTATCTTTTGCAGCAGAGCCAAATAATAACTTAGGTTAAGTTTGCTGATGAAATGACAAAAATTTTCATGAAAAGGAGACACCACAAAATACTAACTTTTAAATCAAAAAGCAGTTTTCCTCTGGAAAAAGAGTTCAGGCAAACCTTACCATTACATCTATACAAAACTGATAGAAAATAGAATCACATAATCACACATTCTGGAATGGTTTACTAAGACAGATATAGAAAGGAAGACATACTGCATTTGTTGTATCTTTATGATAAACAAAAAAGGTCAGAGATTTTCTTCTTATAATTTTTTTTTAAATATTACAAACAACAGCTAATATCTGTTCTGCTTTTGTGTATGGTCACTAGAGCAAATTACTAGCTTGCAAGTGACTTAACTACGAAACCACAGGAAAGAATATTTGGGAATATTCATAGGTCTTAAGATTTTTTATTTGCTTGTTTTCACTGACTTTTGGTTCACCAGATCCCAGCTGAACCTCACTTAGCTTCCGCTCCTTTATCATATCACATAAAGTTCTTCCTATTCCTTTCAAAACTTGGTCAGTAAACATTTCCCTTTTTGTGTCCGCACATTTTCTTGGATCATTCTCCCAGCTTCTTTACTCTTTAGAGGTCTCAGCCCTGTTATTTCATTATCTAAGTTTTATTCCATCCCCTACACTACACACACAACAGCATCAAACTGGGGATCACAGAATCTGGGCCCAGATGCAGGTGTTAAAGCCAAACCTACAGATAATGATTCAAATTGGAATTATGAACTAGAAACTGCTGAAATTCAGTCGGCAATATGAATTCTAGATTTCACAACTTTCTCTGATATTTTCTAGAAGAAAACAAACAAACAAACAAACAAAAGCCCCAATAGATACTAGAAATACCTCACATATAGTAGTGCCTGTATGCCATCACGGCTTAATACCAGATCCTACACAGCACTGAGCAGTCTTAACTCACAGCAGAACCAACAGATTTCAGGACAGTCTTGGTCTCTTAGAAGATTATTTCCCTTTCTAAGCTAACGAATGCCACATCATATTTTATTTTATCAGTAATTCTTAAGCATATATTTATATAACTAAAAATTTGTCTACTACAAAGCAGCTTTAAAAATACATTTTGCATTTAAATAATTTTCTTTTCCATTATCGTTTTTAAAATTAGTTTTTTGATGTTATATCTGTTACAGATTTTCTACACAACTTTACAGAAATAATCTTTCTAAAATAATAAAACACTATTCATTATAATGCAATGCAGTAAGAGACTTGTATAAATAGTGTAACAAATCTGTAGACACCACACCACTTTTATTTGTTGTGGAGTTTCTAGAGAATAGACAAAAAAGATAAACCATGATTTGCAGTTCACCATATGTATGTGCAGCAGGAGATGGACATTTTTTGCCTTGATAGTAATTCCGTTTCATTTGTTACCAAACTGAGAAAGAACATGCCAGCTACCTTTGTCTCAATTTGTTTGGTGTCTAGATTCTGAAAAAGCAGCTTTACTCTTGTTTTCCCATCATCTGAAGATCCTTTGAGCTGAGAGAATTTAAACTTCCACAGCACATTCTAAAGAGAGAGAAATTTGATTAAGGACTGTTGCACACTCTCACCCAGAACGACAGAAAACTGGTAGACGTTTACATATTAAAATAAAGCTTGAAGGTGGCAAATGTAGTGCATGATAACAGGCTGGTGGTAGAGCAAAAAAAATAATGGTTCTCCATCATATAGGATAGTAAAATATATAGTATTAATATTCACTAATCAATTATCTAGAAATTCTCTGATATGTAAATATTTCACTTGTGTATGTGAAATAATACCAACATCAATGGCAAAAGCTTACTTCTAGAACGATCCATGAGGATATTTGTATCACTCTCTGTATGAACACAATTCCATACAATATCTTAATGTCTCATATTTTAGCTGGCTCATCTGCATAGCATAGGTAGTAATATCTTATACAGATGTTCCAAAGCTGAATTCACTGACGTCTGTAAAGTAGTTTGAAACATGCTATGGAAACATGAAATTGTTATTTTTTAATGTGGTCTTGCAAACGACAAGAAATACTTTCTGTTGTTATGCAGTTGTTTGCAAACATACGAGAATTCCAGGGTATGTTCAAACCTGGCTCTCTTATGGCTTTACACACATGGTCTTACTACTAGGCAAATCCTAGATCAAAAGGATGTTTTAACAGTTATAAAGCTATTTTTCAAAAACAAACACTGGGAAATTATTTTTGAAAACAATTTCATTTTCTGTCTTTATTTGAATGTTTTCTATTCACATAAGTCTAACAAAACAAACTAACAACTTGCATCCAGATTTCCTGCTGAT